TGAATTTTTTAAAGAAATCACCAAATTGTTTTCTTTTTTCGACAGGCAGAGTGGACAGTGAGAGAGAGACAGAGAGAAAGGTCTTCCTTTGCCGTTGGCTCACCCTCCAATGGCCGCCACGGCCGGCGCGCTGCGGCTGGTGCACGGCACTGATCTGATGGCAGGAGCCAGGTGCTTCTCCTGGTCTCCCATGTGGGTGCAGGGCCCAAGCACTTGGGCCATCCTCCACTGCCCTCCCGGGCCACAGCAGAGAGCTGGACTGGACGAGGGGCAACTGGGACAGAATCCGGCACCCCGACCGGAACTAGAACCCGGTATGCCGGCGCCGCAGGTGGAGAATTAACCTATTGAGCCACGGCGTCGGCCCCAAATTGTTTTCTTACAAAGGGGAAATAACATTTGCTTTCCCATTATTCAGCTTCCTCATCAGCACTTAGAATTGCCAAGTTTTACAATTTTAGCCATTACAATGGTTGATAATGGTATCACATCATGGTTTTTAGCTACATTTCCCTGATGACAAATAATACTGACATTTTCATATGCTTATTGTTCACTTTAATCAATTAATTTTAAAAATTATTTTATTTGTTTGTGGCTGGCGCCGTGGCTCAATAGGCTAATCCTCCACCTGCGGTGCCGGCACACTGGGTTCTGAGTAACGGTGGGCAGCCAGCTTCTGATCCGGTATCACCTCTTCCAGGCCAGATTTCTCATGTGACCCGGGAGTGCAGTGGAGCACGGTTCAACATCTTGCCTCCTGCACCCGCACGGGAGACCAGGACAAGCACCTGGCTCCTGCGTTCCGATCAGCCACATGCACGACTTGCAGCGAGCCCGCCGCGGCAAACATCGGACGGTGACACACTGGCAAAAGCAAGCATTTTCTAAGTGAACCACTCTATCACAAAGGAGTCTGCCTGTCAAAAAAAAAAATTTTTTTTTAATTATTTTATTTGTTTGAAAGGCAGACACCTTTCCCATCCAGTGGTTCACTTCCCAAATGCCTGTAGCAGCCAGGCTGGACCAGGCAGAAGTTGAGAGCCCAGAACTAAATCCAAGTCTCTCATGTGGGTGGCAGGGACTCAGATCATCACATGCTGTCTACCAGGGTGAGCATTAGCAGGAAGGTAGGATGGAGAACCGAGCTAGGACTCAAACCTGGGTACTCTGATATGGGATGTAGCAAACACCCACCTCTGGTCATTTTAACAAGTCTTTTTATGAATGTCTGTTCAAATATTGAAAAACTGGTTTATTTATGTTATTGTTGAGTTGTAAGTTTTTAATTTTAAATGTGTTATATTTTTTTTAATTTTGTTTTTTTGACAGGCAGAGTGGACAGTGAGAGACAAAGACAGAGAGAAAGGTCTTCCTTTTTCCATTGGCTCACCTCCCAATGGCCGCCGCGGCCTGTGCACCGCGCTGATCCGAAGCCAGGAGCCAGGTGCTTCTCCTGGTCTCCTATGGGGTGCAGGGCCCAAGCACTTGGGCCATCCTCCACTGCACTCCCTGGCCACAGCAGAGAGCTGGACAGGAAGAGGAACAACGGGGACAGAATCCAGCGCCCCAACCGGGACTAGAACCTGGTGTGTTGGCGCCACAGGCGGAGGATTAGCCTAGTGAGCCACGGCGCCAGCCTAAATGTGTTATATTTTTCTAATGTTTGTGGTTTGCCTTTTTTTTTTTTTTTAAGATTTATTTTATTTATTTGAAAGTTACAGAGGGAGGGGAAGGGGGAGGGGGGGGAGAGAGTGTGTCTTCTACCCGCTGGTTCACTCCCCAAATGGCCACAACAGCCAGAGCTGAGCTAATCTGAAGCCAGCAGCCAGGAGCTTCTTTCAGCTCTCCCATGTGGGTGCAGGGGCCCAAGGACTTGAATTGCCATCTACTGCTCTCCCAGGCCGTTAGCAGAGAGCTGGGTCAGCTGGGACTTGAGCCAGTGCCCATCAGTATGGGCCCCCTTTTTTGTTTTCTTAATGGAGTATTTGGAAGAACGAAAGTTTTAAATGATAAAGTCCAGTTTATCAATTTATTCATTACAAAAATGCAATGCATTTTTTTGATGCTGTTGTTCTATCTAGGAAATTATTGCCTACTATCTAGTCACAAAGATTTCCTTCCTTCCTTCCTTCCTTCCTTCCTTCCTTCCTTCCTTCCTTCCTTCCTTCCTTCCTTCCTTCCTTCCCTCCCCCTTCCTCCCTCCCTCTTTCTTTCTTTTCTTTCTTTCTTTCTTTCTTTCTTTCTTTCTTTCTTTCTTTCTTTCTTTCTTTCTTTCTTTCTTTCTTTCTTTCTTTCTTTCTTTCTTTCTTTCTTTCTTTCTTTCTTTCTTTCTCTTCTTTTTCCTTTTTTCTCCACCACCTTCTCCTTGTCTTATTCTTTCTTTAAAAATCTTTTTTGTATGGATCTTAGTGGAGAATGGGACTGGGAATGGGAGAGGGAGGATGAGAGGTGGGAGGGCAGGTATGGTGGGAAGAATCACCATATTCCTGAAGTTGTAATTATGAAATGCATGATGGCCGGCGCCACGGCTCAATAGGCTAATCCTCCACAGTACGGTGCCGGCACCCCGGGTTCTAGTCCCAGTCGGGGCACTGGATTCTGTCCCGGTTGCCCCTCTTCCAGTCCAGCTCTCTGCTGTGGCCCGGGGGTGCAGTGGAGGATGGCCCAAGTGCTTGGGCCCTGCACCCCATGGGAGACCAGGAGAAGCACCTGGCTCCTGGCTTCGGATCAGCGTGGTGCGCCGGCCGCAGCGGACATTGGAGGGTGAACCAATGGCAAAAGGAAGACCTTTCTCTCTGTCTCTCTCTCTCTCTCACTGTCCACTCTGCCTGTCAAAGAAAGAAAGAAAGAAAGAAAGAAAGAAAGAAAGAAAGAAAGAAAGAAAGAAAGAAAGAAAGAAAGAAAGAAAAAAAGAGAAATGCATGAAGTCTGTATTCCTTAAATAAAAGGTTTCTTTGGGGCAAAAAATGAAAAAAAAAACTTGTTTGTGGGGGCCAGCACTGTGGCATAGGTTAAGCCTCTGCCTGCAGTGTCGGCATCCCATACAGATGCCAGCCAGAATGTGTCCCGGCTGCTTCTTTTCTGATCCAGCTCTCTGCTTATGGTCTTGGAAAGCAGTGGAAGATGGCCCAAGTGTCTGGGACCCTGCACTTGTGGGGGAGACCCTGAGAAAGCTCCTAGCTCCTGGCTTCAGATCGGCCCAGCACTAACCACTGCAGCAATTTGGGGAATGAACCAGAGGATAAATATTTCAAATAAATAAATAAAATTTTTTGTCTCTATATGTTTTTTGGTTATTTGGTCATTTCCTTAGATTTCCCTATTTTGTTACTATATTCTTTGCCTACCATATCAGATCTCTCTCTTTTTTTTTTTTAAATCCAAGGCACTCTGATATGAGATAATGGTGTTTTTATTTTTTATTTATTTATTTTTTAAATTTATTTGACAGGTAGAGATATAGATAGTGAGAGAGAGAGACAGAGAGAAAGGTCTTCCTTCCGTTGGTTCATTCCCCAAATGGCCACTACGGCCGGAGCTGCGCCGATCCGAAGCCAAGAGCCAGGGGCTTCCTCCTGGTCTCCCATGCGGGTGCAGGGCCCAAGCACTTGGGCCATCCTCCACTGCCCTCCCGGGCCACAGCAGAGAGCTGGACTGGAAGAGGAGCAACTGGGACTAGAACCCGGCACCCATATGGGATGCCGGCGCTACAGGCGGAGGATTAGCCAAGTGAGCCATGGCGCCAGCCCCCATATCATATCTCTTATCAATTATCATTTTGTATCATAAATTCATTCTTGGGGCTGGCAGTATGGTGCAGCAGGTTAAAGCCCCAGCCTGCAGTGTTGGCATCCTATATGGGCACCGGTTTTGAGTCCTGGCAGCTCTTCTTCTGATCCAGCTCTCTGCTATGGCCTGGGAAAGCAATAGAAGATGGCCCAAGTCCTTGGCCCCTGCACCCATGTGGGAGACCTGGAGGAAGTTCCTGACTCCTGGCTTCAGATCGGCACAGCTCCGGCCATTGTGGCCAAGTGGGGAGTGAACCAGCAGACGGAAGACCTCTCTCTCTCTACCTCTCCTTCTCTCTCTGTGTAACTCTGAGTTTCAAGTAAATAAATAAATTTAAAAAAATTTATTCTCAAGAAGTTCCTTTGGTGACAGGTGGTGATAATTTTGTTTTTATTTGCTAGCTTGCTGGAACCACTTTGCTACAAATTTTTAACTTGGAAATATTCAGGCACCACAATTAATATAAATTCTAGCTTTACATCCATCTGAAGTCTGCTTTTAACATGAATTCTGATAAGAAACTTAAGAGCTCAGTTATGTATTTGAGAGAGAGAGAGAGAGAGAGAAATCTCAAGTTCTTCTATCTGCTTGTTCACTCCCCAAATGAGCACAATGTGGTTAGGGCCAAAGCTGGGAGCCAGGAACACAATCCAAGTCTCCTACATGGTTGGCAGGAACCCAGTTACTTGGTCCATCATCACTGCCTCCCAGGGGCATCATTGGCAGGAAGCTGGAGTCAGCAGTCAGAGCTGGGAACTGAAGATAGGTACTCCCTATGGGCCAACAGTGTCTTAACCATCCAAGCTAAATACCGGCTTCTTCACAGGAAACTTTTGCTGTATATTTAGCAGCCTGAGTCAAGGAAGGAAATGGCAACTGTATGTTTCTGTGGGGACAGAGGGGAGAAGGGAAGGGAGTAGCACTTGAATTTTATTTTCTGTTTACCTTTCTACTGCAGATGCTTGTTTGCAGTGGTCCTAGCTTTATGGAGGAAACTTCGATCTGAATTTTCACTTTGCACTGGACTAGGCTTTGGACAAAGGTGCTGGGACTTACTTGTTACAACTGAAGCTATGGGACACTTGAATTTGGTGAGGTCCCCTGATAGGTAGATGTATCCAGTGCAGCCAGCATCTTCAGCACTCATATGCATATCTAGATTTCTGGCTGTCCTTGTGTTGGGCTTTTAAGGTTTTTCTTCACTTTCTTGCTAGCTCAATGGTGCACTTAAGGAGCCTTTAAAAAACTTTTATTTTATTTAAGAGGTGGAGGAAAGAGAGTGAGCACGAGAGAGTGAGATGCCACCAGCTGGTTCACTCCCCAATGCCCACAACTCCCAGGGCTGGACCAGGCTGAAGCTGGGAGCCCAGAACTGAATCCAAGTCTCCCTCATGGGTGGCAGGGATCCAGCTACTTGAGTCGCCACTGCAGCCTCCAGGGTGTGCATTAGCAGCAGGCTGGAACTGGAAGTGGATCTAGGACTTGGACCCAGGCACTCCAATATGGGATGAGTCGAGAAGTTAGACTGGACACTCCATCAGTAAAGAAAGAAAAGGACAAAGTCTGAGTGAAAGTGAATTTGCTCCAAAAAACCTGTGACATCATTGTCAGGGAACTAAAAGGCGCATAAAAGACGCGGTGAGTGAGAGAGGAACCACTTGCTCTGTGGGAAGAAGGCGTGGCCATGGCCGGCGCCTACGATGCGAACGTTCGCATTCCCAGCGACGCGGACTGAACATCTTCCTGGGATTCCAGACACTTTCGTGGACTGGATGGCCACGAAGAATGGACTCTGAGGACAGCGACATGGATTTAAGTCAAATCGAGCAACCTCGGCTGACCATTACCGAGAAGTTCACAGGGAATTTCTGAAGGAATGCAGAAAGTTAACGAAATCCAACCTAAACAATTTTACACAATTTGAACCATCTCCACGCTTTTATCAGAACCGTAGGTATGAAGAGCAAGGCTCTATAGCATGCCATGTGCCTCAAATTCTAAACAAATTCAGAATTTCCGTCTCAGAATGTCGAGCCCAGGATTCTATTGGATGGCCATCATCAAAAATTCAAATCTAGAAGGAGCCAATCAGATTCGAGATCAGGCCTATATTCCTGCCTACCCTCTGGGAAAGAGCCAACCAGAATTGGCAGTGGGCGTGGACTAACATGGAAGAGTATATAAGGGCGGCTCTGCCTCTGGTGGAACGCGAGTGTCCTGTAGAGGATCGCCCGACGGACGTGCCGTCTAAATTCTCACCAGATAGTTTCTCCGAGGACTCCGGTCCTGTGACCAGAACCAAAATCAGTCAGAAATATATGGCTGTGGTGAACTGGCACGTGGAAAACGGCACCACGTCAGGAAAACCATGGATGCAGGAGAACAGCAAGTCTTACCTCAGCTTCAGCTCGACCAAGAACGCCAGGAGCCAAATCAGGTCGGCCCTGGACAACTTCACCAAGGTCATGGGCCTGACCATAATGGTTCTGGACTGCCTGGTGGGGGTGCTGGCTCTGCCAGACACTGCCAACGGCCGGACCCACCAAATCCTACAGATGAGCGGCTGCCATCGGGCCTGTGCCGGCAGCGTGTGGGCGGCATGGTGTCCTTGCCAATACGGCAGACGAAACACCACCTGGTTGTTTGGACCTGTGACCACGCGAAGGAGCAGTATCGCGGAGGCTACTGCCCGTGCTGCTCCCTGCTATGGTTGCGCCAAATGGACAAATGAGATCTTTCCCTTCAGGGGCTGCGTCGAGCAGATGACCATCTGGTGGGAGGAGGAAAAGAGGACGGCCACGGTGGTGGACGCCGTCAAGGCCACTCCCAGGGGCGGCAAGGTCCGTGCAGACCAAATATGCAAATCCTCCGCTCAGGTGGAACCGACTCCCGCCGTCGCCGTTGCCGTCATCACTGGCAACGCCGACATGGGCATGGGCGCGGTGGCCGATGGGAAGCCGACAAACTCCCAACACCAGCAACGGCTCCAGGACCAGAGGTCCACGTTTGAACGTACCCGACGTTTGACGCCTGGCTTTGGCGAACGTTTGCCTAAACGAGAAGCCAAAAGCTTTTTCCGTTGGGTTTCCGATCCCATGACTGACGTGACTCTTGAGTTCTTCGTCGGGAAGACCGAGTCAGAGGGAAGGCCCGCCCCTTCCGGTGATGGAAAGAATAGAAGGCCGGCGGAAAAGCCCGCTCTTGCGTTCGAGCCCCACGTTCCTTCTGCCTCTGGAAGGTATGTATCCCCATGTTCTGAGCACTTGCGGTTGGGTACGGTGAAATATCCATGGAAAGGCTGTGAATGTGTGAATACGGCTCTTAACATGTGCTTTATTCATGGAAAATTGGGTTGTTTTGAGGGTTTTCTTTCTGAAACAATTTCAGACCAAAAATGAAAGTTCTGACTAAAACGAATCTGATCAAAAAGAGTACGTCAAATTATGTTTATTATTATATTTATTATTTGATTGTAGTGCTTGTAAATTCTCCATTTTGATTTAGTTGACTGTGTTCAAAAACAAGATGATTATTTAAACCTAGTTTATGTTTGCTGCTGATTTCATTTCAGACTTGGCGGAGGATAAACTCCCTTATGACTTTGAAGAGTGGCTTGGTCTTGAGTCGGGTACCCCAAAATTCAAAGCCAATCAACAGCATCAAGACTCTGCTATAGTCTTGATGTTACCCGGATGTAAATATGTAGGCCCTGTCAATGGTCCAGACAAGGAAAAGCCTGTCAGTCAGGTAGAGACCACTGTTCTTGCTGCTCTCAGGGTACAACGAGATAATCCGTACCTCAAGTACAACCACATGGACACCTAGTTCCAAGAGGTACTCAAAGACACCTCTTCTAGAGGTGATCTCAGCAAGGCTGTTTCCCAGGCCAAAAAAGTGGATAGTGGAATCCTTCGGTCTGGTTGAGGAAAGCAACATGGCCCTGGGTAAAAAGAGACCTCTGCCTGAAGAGAAGACTCTAGAACAGGCTCATGGTTCTGGTCCTGAAAGTCTTAAAATACTTTTCGAAAAAAGAAGTTAAACACTGTCAATGCTAGAGCAGTATCCTCCTCACACGTAGCCTCCTCAGATGCACCTTAAATTTGGGCTCTACTACAATGTCTGCAGGAGGAGGTGTACCAATGGGTGATAATAACCAAGGTACCATGGTACTCAGATGGGCACTGAGGTTCCAAATGGATGGGGAACACCATGTCCACCCGAACCTGGGTCCTGTCCAGCTACAACAATTACCTCTACCAACAAATCTCCAGTATCAGAACAGCCAGAAATGTCAGTGCCCACTTCAGGTGCAGCACCTCCTGGGAATACTTGAACAGGTTCCACTGCCACTGCAGCCTCCGAGACTGGCAAAGACTCATCAACAACCACTGGGGAGTCTGTCCCAAGACTCTCAAAGTCAGAGTCTTTAATATACAAGTCAAAGAAGTCATGACTTGCCAACAACCTCACGCCCATGGTCCACGTCTTTGCTGATTCTGAGTATCAGGTCCCCTACCTTCTGGGCAGTGCAACAGGGGGCTGCCTGCCGGTGTTCCTCCAGAGGCCTTTACACTCTTGCAGTGACGATGACAACACCGACAGTCCTATAGATAGAAGCACCCTTTACTCCCTGGTGTACTTTCCTGGCAAGATGCTGAAGCCCAGCAACAACTCTGAATTTGCCTTCCAATTTGAAGAAGTGGCCCTCTATTCAAGATTTGTACCCAGTGAGCTTTTCAACAAACTGGCTAATCTGCAGGTTGATCAATACTTGTGGAAGCTGTCAATTCAGGAACACCCATCTTCAAAGTTTCCAATTGGCAAAACATACCAAAACAGCCTGAGCAGAGCTGTATATAAAACACAGGCTCAGAACACTGCCTAAGAACAAATTTCAACCAAACTGTCAGCAGCAACAATCGATTCTTCTGAATAACTATAATTATACCTCAAAACCAGGACCAGATATAATAGTCACCCATCAAGACGGAACTAATTTTGTTCCTAGGACATCACCATGATTTTTCAATGATGATAAGATTGTACTAAGGGACACACCCTTACTCTTGTTTCTGAGTTACTTATTACTTGATGAGAGTGTAACAACAGCCACCAGCCCTCAGGTTTACAACAATGCTGACAGAGTGACCACCAACAACCAAAGTGTATCAACAGCTCTTAGAACAGGTCTCTTTAATCACTGAGGAACCATACCCGGTCCTGCCTGGATGTCATGAGACATCTATCATCAGGGACCTATTTGAACCAAAATTCCGATACCAAAGAACATTTCCATCCCAGTCCTCATTTGGGTGAATTTGGACTCAAAAAAACCACCACGCATGTTGCTTATTAAGAACTGTTCCTGGAAATGTGACTGCTTTCACAGATAGGCAATCTTCTCATCACCCAGTATGCAACCATTTCAGTGCCAATGGAGATGACCTAGAGACTCAGGGAAGAAATTTCTAAGAGGTAGAATCCAGAGATGCAGGACACTAACAACTACAAGAGCCCAACCTACGTGGATTTTGTCCCCTCAGATCAGGGAGTGTACAGAAGTACCCGAACTACCTAACCAAGCCTTGTAATTATGTTTTCAATAAACCGTTGTATTCGTTTCAGTTACTTACAGCCTTAGGTGTTTTTATTTCCTATATGTAATTCCCTATGGTGCTTTCTCCCTTTCCTTCAATTTCCTGATGACAGGATATCCAGTCTTCCTTCTTTTCACTCACTCACTAGTGCAAAGCTGCACTAGGGCCCCTATTCTGCATATTGCAAGGACTAATACACTGCATGCTTAATCCACAAAGAATTTCATCAAAGAATTTTCACAGTGATTTTAGCTTTTATATTTAGTTATGTGCAGGGCTTTGGCCCATTTAACCCTGACTTCTGTGTATAGTGTAAGGTAATGTTTGATGCCTGCTTTTTCCCATATGGATGACCTACCACTATTTTACTTAGGTGTATAACAGGTATCTCAAACAGAAAGTGTTCAAGACCGAACTCCAATTTTCCTTCTCTTCTGTCTCTAAAAATCCACATTTACCTTCAAAATACATCCCAACTGATATACACTATAATGTGGATGAACCTTAAAAACATTATTCCACGTAAAAGAAAAGACACAAATGGCCAAATATTGTATGATTCCATTTATATGAAATATTCAGAATAGACAAACCCATACTGACAGAAAATTGACTAGTGACTACCTCGAGGTGGGGGAGTTGGAGGCAAATTGTTAATGGGTATGGAGGTAACAGGAATATTCTAAAATTGACAGTGATGATGGTTGTACAACTTTTTGAGTGTAACAGAAATCACAGAATGGTACCTTTTTTTTTTTTTTTTTTTTTTTTTTTTTTGACAGGCAGAATGGACAGTGAGAGAGAGAGACAGAGAGGAAGGTCTTCCTTTTCCGTTGGTTCACCCCTAATGGCCACTGCAGCCGGTGCACTGCCCTGATCCGAAGCCAGGAGCCAGGTGCTTCTCCTAGTCTCCCATGCAGGTGCAGGGCCCAAGGACTTGGACCATCCTCTACTGTTCCCCCACCCCCGGGCCATAGCAGAGAGCTGGACAGGAAGAGGAGGGACTGGGACAGAATCTGGCGCCCCAACTGGGACTAGAACCCGGTGTGCCGGTGTTGCAGGCAGAGGATTAGCCTATTGAGCCGCGGCTCCGGCCAGAATGGTACCTTTTTTTTTTTTTTTTTTATTTAATGTGCATAAATTTCCAAAGTACAACTTATGGATTACAATAGCTTCCTCCCCCCCGTAACTTCCCTCCCACCCACAACGCTCCCCTCTTCCCCTCCCTCTCTCCTTCCCCTTCACATCACGATTAATTTTCAATTATCTTTATATACAGAAGATCAATTTAGCATATGTTAAGTAAAGATTTCCACATTTTGCTCCCACACAGAAACACAAAGTGTAAAATACTATTTGAGTACCAGTTATAGCATTAATTAAACACCTAAGAGTAATTGTGTATTAATTACAGAGTTCAACCAATAGTTTTAAGTAGAATATAAAATGCATCTTTTGTATTGTTGTGGCTTCCTCCACCCCCCCCACCTCCCTCCCTCCCGTGGCCCTCCCCTCACCCACTCCCTCTCCCATCCCACCCTTCATCACGTTTCATTTTCAATTACAGAATGGTACCTTTTACAACAGAGGATTGTAGTGTAAATGAACTCTAAGTAGTACTATTTAAAAATATACCTGGGGACTGGTGCTGTGGTGTAGCAGGTAAAATTGCCACTGTGGCATAGGAGGTAAAGCCACTGCCTGCAGTGTCAGCATCCCATATGGGCACTGGTTCAAGTCCCAGCTGCTCTACTTCTGACACAGCTCCCTGCTTATATGCCTGGAGAAGCAGCAGAGGATGGCCCAAGTGCTTGGGCCCCTGCTACCCATGTGGGAGACCCGGAAGAAACTTCTGGCTCCTGGCTCCTACTGACCCAACTCTGGCTATTGTGGGCATTTGGGGAGTGAACCAGGGATGGGAGATTTCTCTGACACTCTGCCTTACAAATAAGTAAATCTTACAAGAAAAAAAAATATATCCAGGGGCAAGTATTGTGACACAGCAAGTGTGCCTGGTTTGAGTCCCTACTTACTGCTTCACCTTAAAAAAAAAAAGAA